ATATATATATTTATTTTATTTCAATGCTACAATACTACAAAACTTAGCTTATAATTATGAATTTGAAGGTACATCAATGCCTTTCTGCTAGAAACTATACCATTTGAAACATTGGCATATAGTTCCCTATATTTATATTTTATATAGAAAATGTTCACTATACTTACATGGCCAATAGTTTCTCCAACTGCTGCATTTTGCATGAATGTAGAAAGATGGGTTAGGGCCTGGTTTGTCTCCGGTGACAGTATCTGAAGCACAGATGTAAAAAATTCAGAAAATACAATTATATATAAAAATAATTATTAAGGAGTTCAACCCACTATAATAATGATAAAGGGCCCATGGAAAAAGTCTGTTGAAGAAAGTGAAAAAGCTAAAGTTGGTAAAAAGATAGATCTGCATAAAAAGTTAGGGAAAACTGCTCCAATAGTTTAGTTCAATTTATGTATCATTTCATCAGAGAAAATAAAGGCCATTATATTTAAATTCATCAGATCCAGTTGATCATTACCTCCAGAATATCACCTACCTATCGCTACAGTAATTTCAATAGTTAGAAACAAAATTATTTATTTAAATTAATCATTAGCTTATTTAATATATTCTGAATTCTTTTTTTTTCCCCTCTATTTTCTCTCTTATTCCCAACAGCTACAATACTCAACACCTTGCTGATAATTATGAATTTGAAGGTACGTCAATGCCTTTCTGCTAGAAACTATACTACTTGACATTGGCATATAGTTCCCTACATTTATATTTTATATAGAAAATGTTCACTATACTTACATGGTCAATAGTTTCTCCAACTGCTGCATTTTCCATGAATGCAGAAGGTTGAGCTAAGGCCTGGTTTGTCTCAAAATTTGGTGACAGCATCTGAAGCACAGATGGAAAATTTCAGAAAATACAATTATATATAAAACAAATTATTATAGGAGTTCAATCAATTAATAAGGGGGTCGGTGGAAGGGTGGTCTAAACCGTTGGTTTTGGACCACTACGACCAAGGATAGAGTTCCGCATTGGGCACTTTTTTTCTAATAAAAAAAAAATGCTCCAATGGCCCCAATTCTTACAAAATCCAATACCACCAGCAAGTGCAAGTAATAAAATGGGGCTCTGGCACATTTAAAAGTGCAAAGGTCTAACTGCTAGTGTAAGTTCAGGGAACAATTTGCCACTAAGAAGTCTTGAGCAATGTACTTCATGCAGTTTTCTTCCCAGGGGCTTAGTTAGTATATCTTATATGTGTCTTCCACTTGGAACATAGCACAAATCAATCAAGCCATCATCTAGCTTCTCCCTAACAAAGTGATGCCTGATTGAAATATGTCTGGTCTTTGATCGGTCAATGTAGTTCTTGGCATGCACAATTGCCGCTTGGTTGTCACATCACACAGGAGTTGGATCTTGCACACTCTGTGGCAATTCCAAATGATTCAGGAACTCCCTGATCCACGTTACCTCTCTGACTGAGAATTATAGTGAGATGTATTCTGCCTCCATGGTGCTGAGGGCAGTTACAGTGTGCTTTGAGCTCCGCCAGAGAACTGGTGCACTTGCCAACATCACTACATAACCAGATGTACTCTTTCTATCTTCTAAATTGGTACCCCAATCTGCATCTGTAAAGGCATGCAACTGTCCTCCAGTTCGTTGATAGGTGATTCCCAGACATTTTGTTGATTTTAGGTATCGTAAAATTCGTTTTGCAGCAGCCCAGTGTTTACCAGTATATCTAGAGCAATATCGAGCCAATTGACTTATGGCATAAGAAATATATGGCCTTGTCTGCTGAGAAAGATAAAGTAATCCACGGATTAGTTCACGGTATGGGAGGTTTTTGCAGTTCTCCCCATCTTTATCTCCAAAAAGGTCTCCATCGGTGTTGACATTTTTCTTCCTTCCTGAAGATTGAACCGTTCCAGTAGACTTTCTATGTATGCCGTTTGTGGTAAAGTTACACATCTTTCCTTTGACCGAGTGAAGTTGACACCAAGCATGTAAGATACTGGCCCAATGTACTTTGTTTGAAAGTGTTCTCTCAGCAGTTCAGTACACTTTTCTCTCACCTCTTGATTCTCTGTCAGCATGAAAATATCATCCACATATAATGATAAGATTATTATTCCTTCACTCAGTTGGAGCTTATAGACGCAGGGATCAACTGGATTCTTTGTAAACCCCTTTCCTTTCAACCATTCATCAAGGCATTTGTTTCAACATCTTCCACTTTGTTTAAGTCCATACAGCGACTTTTTGAGTCTGCAATAGAGATGTTCCTCACCAGGCTTGGCAAGGCCTTCTGGTTGTTCCATGTAGATCACCCAGTCAAGCTTGCCATAGAGATATGCACTTTTTACATTGTATTGATCAATGAACCAATTGTTTTCAACTCCAATGGCCATGAGAAAAATTCTCATTTCGAAACTTAAGACTGGTGCGTAAATCACATCATAGTTGAGTCCTTTCCTTTGAGTGAAGCCTTTTGCTACAAGTCGGGCCTTATACCTCACTATATGACCCTCGGCATTGGTTTTCTTGTGCAATACCCATTTACAAACGATAGGGGTCACGTCTTTTGGTAGCTCTGTTAGTTCCCAAACATTATGTTTTTGCAAGGATTCTAACTCTTCTTCGATTGCCTCAAGCCATTGTTCAGCTTCATGACCTTGGACAGCTTCTTGATACGATGTAGAATCTCCTTTGTATATCACAGTGTTGTGGAGTTCAGTTGAGGTCTAAGTGCTTCTCTGGTTTCTCAAAATAATTGGATGACACCTCTTCGATTTGAGTTCCATAGGTTCTTTACTTTCTGGAACTAGTTCATCAGTAATGTGACCCTCATCGTTGTTGTCCTCTTCAATTGGTATCACGTCTTCTTGATCCAATGAAGGCACAGGATTTCCTTCAATTTCTTGTTGAGTGGCATAGTTGTAGTGTTCGACTGATGGAAGCGTCTCTCAACTGTTGTCGTCCTTTTGTATAACATTTTCTCTTTGAAGACACAATCCTGTGATTCCACTACCTTCTTCATCTGAGGTATCCACACTCTGTAGCCGTGTCCTCTGAGTGCATATCCAACAAAGATGCCCTTGACAGCTCGGTCATCCAATTTAGATTTCTGTACTTGTCTTGGAACGTGAACAAATACCTGACAGCCAATAGTTCGTAGATGTTTGAGGCTAGGTTTATTCCCTGTCCATAATTCATACGGTGTACCTTTGCTATTGTGACTGTTAGTCACTCTGTTCCTGATGTAGGCTGCGGTGTAGATCAACTCTGCCCAAGAATTCTTCGGCAGATCACTTCCGCATATGGTGCTCCTGACAAGGTCTAAGTGTGTCCTATTCATCCTTTCTGCCACAACATTCTGCTCAGGTGTATACGTCATTTTGCGTTCATGCACGATTCCGACACTCTTGCAGAAAATGTTCCATTCTTTTGAACAAAATTCCAAACCATTATCTGTACGGATTCTTATCAGTTTACGATTGGTTTGTTTTTCAGATTCTTGAATCCATTCTTTGATTTTTCCTAGAGTTCCGCACTTGTTTTTGAGGAAAAATACACTCACATATCTTGGATATTCATCGACTAGCCGAATGACCCGGGCAACGCCCGGGTTTTACCCGATTAAATGTTTTATTAAAATACTATTCTTTACAATTATAAATTGGCGTCGTGGATGGCACTCTTTTGAAACGTCCCGCTTCAATCTTTGTGTGTTTTTAAAATACAAAAATAAAATTGTAAATTTTCCCAACGATATTTGAAAATTGTATTATTTAGATTTTTTGTATGAATATATTTTAAATCTGATATATACATAAAATGATATGATAATGATAGCAAGTGATTTCTTGTTCCTACCCTGTCATTACGTCACTCAAGGTCACCGTCGCGCCACGTGGTGGCGCAGCAAACGGTGACACCTGAATGGCGCTCTCCTATTGGCTCGCTACGATCACGCCACCAAAAGCAAACGGTGACAGAATGCATGACGCTGATAACTGTAGATAGAAATGATTGTCAAGGTGTACTTGGCTCCTCCCCAGCTCACTACATCAAGTGGACCCATCAAATCCGCATGTACCAGGTCCGAGGGCATGATTCCATAATCCTTCCTGTGAAAGTCCGAGGGAATGGTAGACGGAAGGATTTCCCAATCAGGCAGTCCTCACACTTTTCTGGCTTTGTTGGGTTGCAGTCAAGTCCTCTTACACTTTGGTTCTTGACCAACTCTCTGATCAAATCTACATTTAAATGCATCAACCTTTTGTGCCAAAGGTCCAGTGTAGGTGCTGTCTTGCATTTATGATCATTTTGATCAATCAATGAAGATGGAGTAGTTTGGATGTAAAATAGTCTACCCAGCTTCTTTCCCACTATTAAGAGTTGCCTTTCGTGTCCATTATGTGGAAACTACTCTTATTGAAGACAATTTCCTTTGTTTTCTACCATTTGGAGCACCGACGGGACTCTGTGTCATATTTATGGAACATATATGGTGTTCTGGACAACAAAATTGTTAAAATGACCTCTATGTTCACTAACATTAGCACTGATTGTGCCAATACCACATGCTTCTATTGAAGAGCCATGTGCAACTGTAATGGTACTCAAGTCGTTGGTACATACTCTTAGGTTTTCAAAGTAATTTCTGTTGGTAGTCATGTGATGTGTTGTTCAGAATCTATTATCCATGTATTAAGGGTAATTCCAAACAAGGTTCCACATGTTGCTGAAATGCTCACGCCTCTGTTTTGGTTAAAACTCTTTGTTTTTTGTTCAAACTTCCCTTATTTCTACATTCTCTTGCATAATGTCCTTTCTCTCCGCATTTAAAGCAAATAATCTTTGCCCTGAATTGATTTCCAGTTTCCACGGGAGCATCAGCCATCATGTGTACTAGTAGTTGGGAAGAGTGACGTTTTTCTGCCTCTGCCAACAATCTTCTTTTGGCTGTGGCGGCGGTGGTCTGATTCAGGCAGGTTACAAATAGTTGAATGGGGGTCGTTGGAAGGCTGGTTAAACTGTTTGGTTTTCGACCACTAGGACCCGGGTTCGATTCCTGCATTGGACACTTTTTTCTGTTTAAAAAAAAAATGCTCCAATGGCCCCCGATTCTTGCAAAAGTCCAACCCCACCAGCGAGTGCAAGTAACCAAACGGGGCTCTGGCACATTTGTAAGTGCAAAGTCGAACTGCTTTTCACATGTGTAGACATGTGGTGCGCTTACAGTAAAAAGCAGTCGCTAACTACCCACCATGATTATCATGGCCTGTACTAAGGTGTACTAGGGATAAGCAAAAAAAAAAAAAAAAAATGGTTGCCTGTAAAGTCGGTTTTACGGGCGAAGATTTTACGTGACAACGGTAGAATATTTATTGATATGAATATAATTATATTGCACAATAGGAACAAGGAATTGAATGAAAATAAGAATTGCACAAATTTTAACTATAGAAATATATTTTGTTTACTAAAACATTGTACATGTAAACTTAAACTTAACTAATTCCTATTTGAGTGATTTTGTTGAGGATAGGACGATGATAGGAGAAATATGAAATGAAAGGAAGTGTTTCTGCTGTAATGTGTCTTGCGAAAGTCAAGTCGATAGTTGTTTCTTTTAACGTAGTTGACTTAGAAACGTTTGATACGCAATCAAGATTATACGTATTTTTCATGAATTTAAGAAACGAGTTGTCAGGCTTTACGTTTTTGTTAAAATCACCACACAGAAGAATCGGTATACTAGAATCAACTTGCACGAACGGTGGCACGTACTGGCTGTTGTGAATGTACGGACCGAGTCCTTGCCATAGTAACATTCCAATATTCTGCATACTAGCTCCTGGATGAATATATACAGCACCGAGTATAAACTTGAAGCTAGTATTAGCGGCGAAGCAAGTAACTTCAGTCATGCACATGTCACCCTTGGTTTTAATGACACGAGTTACGTCTGTAATCGCAACTTGGAACACTTCCGCCGTAGATGTCGATGATAATTTACGATAGATCGCCACTCCACCAGCCGCGTTGGTATTTGAAAATCAAAACACTTATTCAGATCGAAGGTTCAAATTTTTGCTAAATAAATTTGAAATTAAATAAAATTTGTAATTGTAAATGATGAAGTTGAAAATTAAAACATTTACTTAAATTAGATGTTAAAATTCTTGCTCAACACAGTTTAAATAAAGTTTTCTTATATCTGCCACTTTTTCTTAATATTTGTAATTTTAAAGAATCAATTCGAAAATCAAAACATTTATTCAGATCGAAGGTTCAAATTTTTGCTAAATAAATTTGAAACTATTTAAAATTTGTAAAATAATAATTAATTAATTAATTAATTTTAAACTAATAATTTACTTAACACTATCAACATTTATCAATAGTATGACATAACCTATAAACTCAGTTTCTCAACTTTTGTGTCAATCTAACAATTAATCAATCAATCATAGTTTACGATAATGAAATATCAGTGTACAATTATTTACCTTTATTGTTGTAGTTGTTGTAAATGACGAATCTAAGCACTCCACATTTTCACTACAGACACAGCTGACGATACTTTAACCACACGTGTGAACTTGTATTATGACGCTTTCTTGTTTTTCCAACGCCAAGAACGTTCGAGAAAGACAAAGACAGAGACAAGCATGCGCCGATTCAATGCGCCTAATTCTCTAGCGCTGCGCGCGCAGCACTCTCGTTCGATGACTCATCGTAACGTTACCGGGCGTTACACTTTTTCATAAGTGACTCCCAGCCGCAACCTAATTTAAGACGTTGTCACGTCAAAAAACAAATAGTTGAAACAACTGTGTCCCAGTCTTCCGGCAGGCTGCATTATAGAATCATGGCCAAGTTACCATCTTCAATCTTATCACCTATCTGGGCTAGTTCGTTCACCAAATAGTTCATTTTACCCATGTTCCTTCCATATTATGGTTGTGTTGAGCTAACTTTTCACAGTACAACTGCCTTCTTAGTTGCACAATCTGGATTTTTCTGTGTGTCTTTAAGAGCATACAACTTTTCTAACTCTTCCCAAACCTCTTTGGGAGTATTTAAATGCCTAACGTGCATTGTCATTTTGGCATATTCCTTTGACTGTCGCGACAAGTAAATTGTCGCTTCCGTTACATTACTTGGGTCAGGCTTAGCCTCTCTAGGATCTATTTAGGGGGGTCGATGGAAGGCTGGTCTGAACCGTTGGTTTTCGACCACTAAGACCCAGGTTCGATTCCAGCATTGGGCACTTTTTTCTGATAAAAAAAAAATGCTCCAATGGCCCCCTATTCTTGCAAAAGTCCAACCCCGCCAGCGTGGTGCAAGTAACCAAACGGGGCTCTAGCACATTTATTTGTAAGTGCAAAGTCGAACTGCTTTACACGTGTGTAGACATGTGGTACACTTACAGTAAAAGGAGTTGTCTTCTTCTACCCACCATTATTATCATGGCCTGTACCACGTGTACTAGGGATAAGCAAAAAAAAAAAAGTATCTATTTAGCTCCACAGTTCGTTTTCCATCAAAATTAATTTTATCTGGAAATTCCAGCTAGAATAGTTGGCACCATTTAATTTCATGATTAACAAATTTGCCTTTTTTTTTTAATGCAAAACAAGAAAAAACTTGATTACTCATGTTTTTAGGGTTAATCCTTTCCACATGCAACAGAATAGAATCAGTCTCATATTATGTTAGAATTCTTGTTTTCTTCACAATATAACAGCCTCGGAGATAGCAACCAAATAGACTTTATTCAGTCATTCATATATATATAGATAGAAGAATAACAAAGGAAAAGAAAAACTAGGATAAAGTTAAATGAACTTATATACATGCGCACTTACGTGTCGGTGATTACAACTACAAAAAAAAATAAAGTTTCCTATTTACGCGCATGCGCGCCAAGGTGGGTATCACGTGATTTCTTCCTGCCAACAGCTTTCAACATGCATAGACATGAAGTGCACTTAGAGTAAAAGCAGTCGTTTACTACTCACCAAGATTAGCTTGGCCTGTACTAGGGATAATTAAAAAAAAAACCAATTAATAGAGATGTAAATTTGATAATATAAATATATACAAATATAAGAAAAGGAAGCATTCTTAGAAGGAACCAGGCCTAAGCTTTCTCTTCACCTGAAATTAAAAGTTTTCTAGTGCCAATTTTTAATTTTTTTTTTTTGTAATTCGGGTGTATTTTATTTATTTATATATATTTTTTTATCAAAGCTACAATACTTAACACCTTGCTAATAATTATGAATTTGAAGGTACATCAATGCTATTCACCTAGAAACTATACCACTTGAAACATTAGCATATAGTTCCATACATTTATATTTTATATAGAAAATGTTCACTATACTTACCTGGTCAATAGGTCCTCCAGCCGCTATATTTTCCATGAAAATAGAAAGATGGGTTAGGGCCTGGTTTGTCTCCGGTGACAGCATCTGAAGCACAGATGGAAATATATCAGAAAATCCAATTATATATAAAAAGAATTATTATCGGAGTTCAATCAATTAATTATGGGGTTGGTGGAAGGGTGGTCTAAACCGTTGGTTTTGGATGCTACGACCCAGGATCAAATCCCTCATTGGGCACTTTTTTTCTAATTAACACTTAAAGCTCGGCGGACGTATATTTACGTCCCACATCTTTAAAAATCGGTATAAAATCGGCCGTTAAAGTACGTTCCTTGGGATTTTGGGTACAACGTCCTTGAAGTGTCCATCAACGATTGGCTAGTTGCTAACACGTGTTCCCCTCCTCCCCTCCCCCCAGATTCCATTTTTGTGACTCATATACCCACGTGTGGTCATTTGTTTATCTTCTACTGTTTCCTTGACGTAGAGTGCTACTCTCTTTTTTGTTCTTCATCCGCTCGCTCTAAAAATGGATCCCAACATGCCCAGTACCTCAAGAATTGATTTAATCAATGTTCCTGAAGCTGATGAAGAGTTTGAGGATTATTTCTTAGCAGATTCTGGGTCTGAACTAGATGATTCTATTGAAGATCCTCAATTTACTTTGGAAGGTCTAGAATCTGATACAACTGAAATTTATTATGAAGAAAAGTATCTATTTTTATTTTTCTTTCATCCTATTCATATATTTAAACTTTTTTTTTTTTTAGAAAATAAGACAACCTACCCCTGAAGATGAAGGATGGACCGAGGTAAGATTACCTTTGGAAAAGCCTACATTTTCTGGAACCTCTGGACCAAAGGCAGCTTTCTTTCCTGGAACTCTCTCTCCCTATTCAGTATTCAAGCAGTTTTTTGATTAAGAATTGTTTAGAACGATAAAGTTGGAAACCAACAAATATGCAAGGATGGTGATTGATAAGGAGAGAAAGAAAGGCTGTTTGAATCCTAGGGGGTTGTTGGCAAAGTGGAAAGCTGTTTCAATTGCTGAATTGAAGATATTTTTGGCAATATTCATTCATATGAGCCTTGTAGTAAAACCAAGGCTAAGAGAATATTGGTCAAACCACATTGGAATGAAGATAGCTTTCTGCAAATCGACTGGAATGGCAAGGGAAAGATTTGAGGCAATTTTATCAATGCTCCATCTGGATGATAATATGCTATATATTCCACATGGACAACCAGGATATGATCCAATTTACAAAATAAGAACCTTATTTGATTCCCTTGTCAATAAATTCTGAATCTGGTACTCGCCTGATGAAAAATTGACTATTGATGAGGCCATTTGTCCTTTTCGTGGACAGGTTCATTTCTGAGTATATAAAGGGCAAACCTCATAAATATGGGATCAAGATTTATGAGATTTGTGAATCAAGTACAGGGTATACCTGTAACCTGGATATATATACTGGAAGGCATCTTCATCAAGACCTTCAATATAATTCTATATTGAGCTTAGTTGACAGGATTGCTGAACCTTACTACCAGAAAGGCCACATCATCTATTTCGATAGGTGGTTTTCCTCTCCCCAACTTTTCAATCATTTATGGGAAAAGAAAACACTTGCAGTAGGAACAGTCAGGCATAACAGAAAGGGATTGCCAAAAAAAGCTTTCT